CTCCAAAGGGAGCACACAAACCACCATTGACCTTGAGAATGCTCTGAACATCACTATAGAGAACTTTCACCTGATCTATAAATTTTTTACAAAAACCAAAGGCTTTCAAAACTCTCCACAAATAAACATGTTCAACACGATCAAAGGCTTTCTCTTGATCCAATGAAATTAAACCACAATCTAAATTTAGCATCTTACATCAAGACATGTGCACCTAGACATCAAGAAGATCTCTAATCAGGGAAACATTATCAAAGATTGACCTACCAGGGACACAGTATGTCTGGTCAGGATGTATGACCTTGTCCATAACCTCTGCCAACCGATTAGCTAAAACCTTAGAGAGCAGCTTGTAGTCACTGCACAGGAGGGAGACCGGCCGCCAGCACTTGATGTCCATCAGGTCACCCTTCTTGGGTAGGAGAGTCAGGACTGCTCTGCGGCAACTCAGCGGCAGTAGCCCTCCGGCTAAGCTGTCATTCAGTACCTCCAGCAAATCTTCTCCAATCTCTGACCAAAATGACTTATAAAAGTCGACTGGCAGGCCATCCATCCCTGGTGCTTTTCCCTGCTCCATACCTTGGAGGGCCTTGCAGAGTTCCCCCATGGTCAAGGCACCTGAAATCCTTGCATTGACTTCCTGACACTTGAGGAAGATTGTCAAAAAAATCACTATCATGCCTATAATCTGGACCCAGCTCATTTTTATATAAGGACTCATAAAAAGTGACTGCTCTCTTACGAATGTCCTTGGGATCAGTCAGCAATACTCCAGATTCAGAACGTAAAGCATTAATAACCCTGTTCTGTCCATTTTTCCTTTCCAAGCTGAAAAAAAACCTTGAGGGTACATCCATCTCATTTACACTTAGAAAACGTGACCTGACCAGAGCACCCTGTGTTTTAACCCCTAGTAGATCAGACAACTGAGTCTTCTTATTTTTTATGAGAGACTCCACATCACTCTGATGTCCAGGCAAGTGAGCCAATTCTTGCAGTTTTAAAATATCAGTCTCTAAGGTGTTCAAAGTCAGGGTTATCTCTCTAGTGACATTCTGGGAGTGTTGTTGACAAAACTGTTTTATCTGAACTTTCCCAAAACCCCACCATTGCTGCAGTGTTCTAAAAGAATTTTGTAGTTTTAAAAACAACCCAAAACAGTTTAAAGCTTTCTTTAAAACACCTATCGTCCAATAAAGTGGTATTTAGATGCCAATAAGCACTCTTTGGCATAATAGAGTTTAAAAAGATACAGCACTGCACCATACTATGATCTGAAAGACATGATGGGGTAATAACACAACTCTTAACAATACTACCATGATGTTTAAAAACATAAAACCTATCCAGTCTTGCGAATGAGATCGTGTTATCACGAACATGAGTCCAAGTGTATTGTCTTTGTTCTCCATTAAGCTGTCTCCAAATATC